ATTGACAAACAACTTCATAAACTGATAGCAAACTGCAAGGAAATGATACTTTTAAATTTTGGGCTTGCCCCTGAGAGCTAGACTTGAAGGAGCAATCACACACACACGGCACACTTGTGTCCGCCCTAATTCTTGATATTGCAAGTTCAAGCACTATTTTATCTCCTTACATTTCTGCTGCAAATTAATTTTACTTGTCTCATGAAGAAGATTAATTTTACCTCTAACTTTGCTCTCCTTCAACTCTTTACTTTTGGCAGAATTGTCTTTCTAAACTGAAACAGAAGCAGATCTGATCATGCTGCATTGTGTTTAAAATCTCAATGATTCTTCATTTTTTTGAGGGTGAAGGTTAGGCTATTCAGATGGCAAAGAAAATCATTTCACCAGTCTTCTGATCTCTGTTTAGCTCTTATAGCCTTAGATCAATTTCATCTGTTAAGCTTTCACAACACCGTGCATTTGCTACAGTTTTAGCATTTATCACAATTGTACATTTATGACTGGTGTCATTACTGATAAAATGTTTGTTTTCCTCACTAGACTGCAAGTTTGATGACGGCAGGGACAAAATATGCTATTACAACCTATTCTTTTCCCAGCCACTAACACAGGGCTTAACAAATAGAAGGAACTTAATAAACAGTTGTTGATATTTTGATGATGCATGACTGAACAGATTAACTTATGACTTGCACAGAAAATATCGCCATCACTTATTACATTCACAGAATCATAGCATGTTTGAGAAGGAAACTATGTTTGAAATGTTTCATTCCAAATCCTTCATTACTTTGATAAGGAAATTAAAGCCCAGAAACTAAATGACTTGCCCAAGATTATATAGCTAATCAGAATGAGAGCTGGGTTTATAATCTGGGTTTCCACTACTACTCTGAACCTTTTAAACATTATGTTATGGCTCCTCTTAGCCAAACCCCTCCTTCCAAAAGTACCAGCTATGGACCAGAGTCATAATGAATTTGTGTAGCATTTGGGTGGCTTTGGTCAGAGGTGTCTCCACCCTTCTCTATATCTTTAGGGATTGCCAAACAAATAGTTGAGTTTCATAAGTCTGACAAAGTTGCATGATCTCTTTGCTGTGCCAGAAACTTTTCTCCCACACTTTCTTAGGCAAGTAATTCTCAAATATATATCACGTTCATAGAAAGATTAGGACACGAGTCTGAATGGAGCAGGAAAATATTCACACCTCCAGAAAAAGATCTAACAATCAGCTCCAATGATAATTGTTCCAGTCCAGCCTGTTCACACAGCCACGCATGAGATGTGACTTTATTAATAGATCCCATCAGCTTCAGCTCATTCATCTCTAAACTCCTTAAAAATACTTTTTATTTCTAAAATGCTTTGTTTCTAAAACTATTCCAAAGAATTCTCTTACTCATCATTTTTTTTAACTTTCCTTTTTTGTACTCAATTTTTATAAATTCGTTGCCTCTTAATTATAGCAGTGGAACTCAGTGTGAAGTAAACACCATTCAATGTGTCTCCCATTCATTGCAATGTCTCATTACTGTCTTTGCTCCCTTGGGAAGCTTGGGGTTACCCCTAGGTAGTCAGATACAGTAGTAGGTTGGCCATTTAATCTCCCCCCATTCTCCATTTCACTCCCTTTCTTGTGAACACAAAAGAACTTTAAGTGATCTGTTCGCAGCATTGAAATGCCAACCTTAGTTGGTACTTTGAAAACTCAAAGGCTTTTACAAGATGAATAGCAAACTGTGGATGACAGCTCCTGTGGAGCCATTATTGAATTGCAGCCCTGATGACTGCATTACTTTGGATTTAGATAAAAGACTCCATACAAGACAAATGGTAGGAGGACATCAAACAAGACTGTGTCCATACAGTGACAGAAGCAATCCAATTGAAGAAGCTGTTGATTTCCCCAAGGCTACATACTATTTCTTCCTGAGTAATTTATATTAAGAAACCAAAGATTGCATATTCATCTATTCATCTTCTATTTCTACTTTTCTCTAAAAATACGAATGTCCATTTGTCAAATCAAAGTCTTACTTCTCTGCTCTTGCCGGGAAGAGAAATATCAATACGGGAACATGTTAATTATTTTGTATTGTGTTTTATTTAACCACAATAGCAGTGTGTGTAAAGGTTATAGACTGAGAGTTACAATCTATAATGATCAGATAAAAAGATTAGTCAGCAAATCGATAGTTCCCTGTACCAACAGGAAGCTTGGTATATTCAAGGCAACAATGAGTACAAAAGGTACAGATAAACATCGGGCACCTTTATTTAGATGAAAATTAATTCTAGAGAACTTCCACCACCTCATTAATTATGTACCAATCTTCAGGAGGAACTGGGTGAAACATCATCAGGGGCTTTTGAAATGTGTTGGAAAATGCTTTTGGCTCTATAAAAACTGTGTAAAATCAAGAGCTTTTCTTTCTGTTGGGCCAGCAGCTGTTCATGCAAACCCAGTTACTCAAAATGGAAAGGGTTTCATATATTGAACTGGCATACATTTTTTTTCATCCTAAATCTTAGGAATGAGAATGTAGAAGGCTTTAGCTTCAGAAGTACCATCACGATTGTTTAAAACATGGATTTAAATATTAGTCTACTTAATAGGGAAATAGCACCCGTTATATATGCTTTATCCTAAACCAGCTCTCTATGTTGACATCTTTTTCAAAAGATTAATGCTTTTCTGATGTGAACTTTGCATTTACTAACTTTCATAATAACAATTTCCTTTAGTTTTCCTGTTTTATTTGGCATAACCTATCTTCCTTCCACCCTTCTCTTATATAAAAGCTAATCCGTTGAAAAGTAGATTTGGATTGGCTAAGTTGTAAACTTTGAATATAATCTTTGGGGTGGAATGGGGAGTGTTGTTTAAATCAAGATCTCTTTTGGAATTACATGTAACTTCATTCATTTGCATAACCATCTTTTGAATGGAGACTCTTTTTAGCATTTTTGATTTTGGGTATTTCTAAAATCAGACTTGCTCACCTCTGGAAAATTATTCAATTATTCAGGGATTCATCAAGATGAAAGCAGAATATCATTTGTTTGGACGAGAGTCAGACAAAAGAATAGATTTCAATAAGCTCACAGTTCTTAGAAATAGCTTTAATGATGTCTAACAGGTAATTCCTGTTTCACACCAATAATTAATACCAAAGAAAATGTAAGAAAAGAAAAAGAACGGAAAGAATCTGACAATTGAGCTCAGTAAAAACAGTTTTGATTCTCCTGAAGCAGTCCTCAGGTATCACTTTGAATGATTGCTTTTTGCATTTTTTTTTGATCCACATTTTGCATGTTAGAATGGGTGTGTAGTGATTTCCTTCTTTTGGTTCAAATTATTTCTTTAGATGTGCTCTTGCAACTCTCTCATACTGAATCCAATGTGAAATACAGCCTATATTATGTCTCTTACATACAAAACTCTAGGGGGGTGTGTGTGTGTGTGTGTGTGTGTGTGTGTGTGTGTGTGTTCAGTCTCCAGGAATGTGTAAACAAACCTAGCTACTGCTGTCAAAAAAAATTGTGTTGTCTTTCCCTGTTGCCTTTGGGAGGTTGTGTGTTTGGCAACAGCTTTCTTTTGCTGAGCTCACCTTCACTCTGGCTATTTGTGTACAAATTGAATCACTGAAGAGGGGTTCTGATTAGCTTTCATTTGAGCCAATCAGCAGCCATCTGGAGGATCTGCTGAGACATGGGTTACTAGTAATCCTATTGCACCTCCAGGGCAGACTAACAGTTGTTATCAAATTTAATGAAACACTTTGACTTCTAATGTCTATTTAGCTGAAGACTACTATTCCTCTTTGACTTCCTCTCCTCCCTTACTCTTCTTCAGTCTGTTTCTCCTTTCTCCTGCCTTCTTTTCTTCCTTGAATTTTTTCCTTCTTTCTTTCCTTTCTTCTCTTAACACCATAGTAGCATTTTACACTTCACAAAGTAATTTCACACTCCACCTCTGCCATGATTCAGGCCCTCCTCATTTCTTGCCTGGGTTACTACCACGGGCTCCTAATTTATCTCATTCCTCTCTCACTGGCTCCCACCACCCCTGCAGTTGCTACACGCTGATCCTCCACAATGCAGGCAGAGCAATCTTTCTAAAACACACCCTTCTGCTAAAAATACTTCAGTGGCTCTGCACCACATCTAGGAAAATGATCAAACTCCTCACAAAGGCATCCAAACCTTTTCCTGGTCTGGTGCTTTGTTTATCTTCCTGGCCTTATCTTCTGAATTTTCCCAGGCCATACAGATTCTCAGGCATATCAAGCATTCTCACACATCCTGTCTTTGCATAGGCCTTGCAAATTTCATCCCTTTTCTCCATATCTTACTCTTCACCTGGATCTCTATTTTTGACCTGGTTAACTCTAGTCTTCTCTTTCAGGCTTAGGAAAGAAATTTATCTTTGAATTCTTCCAAGACCAACCACCTAGGGCTGCCCTCTCCAGCACCTCACCACACTATACACACACACACACACACACACACACACACACCCCACCACTACACTCACATTGCCTTGGGCTGGTATCCCATTATATCCCTACATGTCATTAACTATTCTGCTGTGGTAATTATAATGTATTGGAATTGCTGATTTACTTTTTAAGTTTTTATTGATTGATTGATCTTTGAGACATGGTCTTGCTTTGTTTCTCCAGGCTGGAGTGCAGTGGCTCAATCTTGGCTCCCTGCAGCCTCCGCCTTTGGGTGTAAGTGATTCTACTGCCTCCGTCTCCAAGTGGCTGGGATTACAGCCATGTGTCACCACACCTGGCTAATTTTTATATTTTTAGTAGAGACAGGGCTTTGCTATTGTTGGCTAGGCTGATCTCGGACTTCTGGCCTCAAGTGATCCACCTGCCTGGCCTCCCAAAATGCTGGGATTATAGGCGTGAGCCACTGCACTGGACCTCTGCAGTTGTTGATTTACTTCGGTATGTCTTCTTCTGCAGCCAGGATTATTAAACCTATCATACTAGGAACCCCTTTGGCAAGTTGATGAAACCCATAAGCCCATTCACTTTTGAACACATAAAACCAAATATGTACAGTCATAAAATATATACATGTTTATTTTTTAAAGCAATAAGAAAGTCTAGCATCAAGTCCACTAATTTGAAAGCAGTAGTAAAAACATTTTAGATATCATTAGCCACTCTACTATGTTATTTGTAATTTCTAACTGCGACAAAATACTTCTGTGGTTTGTTGTCTATCTGCATTTTTTTAAATGCTCTTTTATTTCAACATATGTAAAACGAAAAATATAATTATTGTATCAAGCCAATTCATGCAGAATCTGTATTATTGTAATAACCTAACCTGGGTTAGCCTAACTGACTCCATCTTAGCTGCAAATCTGACAAGCTGTCTCTAGCCTCTCCCTCCCTGCCTCCGCCCCCTCAGGTGCATTACTGGATCATACTACACTCAAAGCTTTGAATGTTAAGAGTGGTTCACAGTACCTGTAACTACTGTAACCGCATCCTGCTCTGTGAGTCTACCTGCTATTGTGAATACTTTCCTTGGTGATTGATTGTATGGAATGTTCCCCCTGCTATCCCACTTAGTGATTGTATGGAAATACCCTTCGCAACCAACAGTCCTGGGAACCTCCTGCCCCCTGGTTACCAGGCTCCTCCTACTAACTTGCTTGTTCTGCTTCTGTAAAATTCTGCTTCAGCTAGTCTGCCCCCTCCCCTATTTAAATCAAGGTATAAAGGGAAATCAAGTCTCTTCCTTGGGGCTGAGAGATTTTGAGCATTAGCTGACTCTCAGTCACTGGCTGAATAAAGGACTCATAGTTTGAACTTAGGGTGTGGCATTTCCTTCTAAGACGCTCAGTTATTATATTAAAGAAATTTTATTTTAGTTTTAGGATATAAGGTCTTTGAGGTTTTCATTTTAACATTTCCGTGCCTTGGACATAGTATTGAGACATAGCAAATACATAAATGTTTGTTGCCCAAATTAGTAAGAAAAGAAGTAGTTTTGCATTTTATGTAATTTAAACTTTAAAAGCCTCCCTGTTCATTAGACTTTATTATTCTGATCACATATTGAGAAATTGAAGCTCAGAAAGATTAAATACATTTCCCTATTTCACAGGGCTTTAAATGTCTATTCCACCATAAAGTTGCCTCTCATTTATTAATTAAGTAACTCAGTAATGACTTATATTGTGTCTAACCTATCAAATAGTCAAGAGAAAGGGAACAAGCATGGAAAGGTTATACCATCAGTTTCTAAAAGGAAAAGTGTATTTATGATACCTTAGATAACTCTTGGCTCCCATTACATTAAGTTTCCATCATTATGGACCAGCTGACTGTGTGGCATTCATCTGGACCTTAGAGAAAGCCTGAGACCATGTAGGAGATGAGTCTGTCGTTCCCGAGAGTTTGTCTCACCAGGAGGAATGCTTACTTGGACTCAGCAACAACCTGAGAATAGAAATAAGGATGGAAATGCCACTTCCTCAACAGCCTGCTAAGGGAGCAGCGGTTGTATTGCTTTGGATTTTTGTTTCATTAGCTCCCTTTGAGTGGAAGAATAAAAGAAAATAACTGAAACTAGGACAATCCTTTCACATTTCAGGATATGAGTGAAGGAATGTTTCGTGTGCTCTATTCTGCCCTGTGCATTGAAATGGTCAGGTCATTGTGTGGCACAATAACTCTTTTTCCAGGACAGTGCTTGTTATCGTGCCTTTCTGCTGTTCTGTTTCTCTCTTGTCTCTTTGCCTTCTTTGATTTTTTTTTCCTGCATCTCATCCACAAAGAAACCACTTAGTAGACTTCTTGAGGAAGGTGGAGTGAGAGTGAGAGACACCCCTTCCCCCTCTCTCTCTAACACACACACACACACACACACACACACACACACACACCCCACACACACATGGAAAGGAAGAGATGGAGGTGGTAAGAACCCTGGAACATACAAGCTATGTTGACCCAAAGGTACAAAGTCACTTTAGACACACCAAACCCTTGTTTCCCCTGTTGGGAGAAATCAAACCAAACAAAGAACAATTTACATTGCTAAAATTTGAGAACTTGGCATAAGGATATTTAACCTTCTGCCATCTGAAATGTCTCTGATTTAGGTATTTCTTGATCTTTCATTTTATGCCTGCATATTTGATGTGTCAAAATAGCAACATCAGGAATTGCACAATAGTTTCTAGGGAGATCCAGCAATAAGATGTGTTATATAATAGTTATACAGGACATGAGAACCTGAATAACTAGAGTACTTTAGAACAGCCTGCTAATTTAACTGTGAGGCCATAAGGAAATCTTCATTGGTTCCCACTGTTGCTATTATAATTTAAAAAATACTTTAAATCATTTTTTTCTATCTTTATTACTCAGAGAATAGTGACCATATTTTTAATTTTTTTATTGTCTCATTCTATTAGTGCTGGTGTATTAGTCTGTTCTCACAGTGCTATGAAGAAATACCTAAAACTGGGTAATTTATAAAGAAAAGAGGTTTAATTGACTCACAGTTCTGCATGGCTGGGGAGGCCTCAGGAAACTTACAATCATGGTGGAAGGCCCCTCTTCACAGAGTGGCAAGAGACAGAATGAGAGTCGAGTGAAGGGGGAAGCCCCTTATAAAATCATCACATCTTGTAAGAACTTACACACTATTAACAGAACAGCATGTGGGAAATTGCCACCATGATCCAATTATTTCCACCTGGTCCTACCCTCGACACGTGGGGATTATTACAATTCAAGGCAATTTGGGTGGGGACACAGAGCCAAACCATATCAGCCGGTATAATAAAATAACTGAAACTGTGTAATTTATAAAGAACAGAAATTAATTTCTTACAATTCTGAAAGCTGAGAAGTCCAAGCTCAAGGTGTCAATGATTTTGGTGTTGGAGAGGGTTTAGTGTAGGCTTCCAAGATGGCTCCTTTACCACCGTCCTCCAGAGAGGGTGAGTGCTGTGTCTTCACATGGCAGAAGGGACGGCAGCACAAAAACAGGCCTAGTTAGTTCTTTTCAGCCTTTCTACAAGGTTGCTAATCCCATGAAATAGTCACCTTCTACAGGTCTCACCTCTTGATGTTATCACATTGGGTCTTAGGTTTGAAAATGCACATTTTAGGGAGACACATACATTTAAGCCATAGCAATTATTATTATTTATTATTATTTAATTTCAAGGCATCTTACTCTAACTCATGGCTGTAATTCTAATCATTATTGCTCAGCAGTCATGGTTCTACAGGCCAAGAGAGAGATAAAATTATAGTGCTGAAGAACACTATAAAAATTGTTTTCTTCCCCTAGAGAAGGAATTGTTTTTGGGTTAAGAAAGCACACCAAGTCAGATAGTTCTGAATGTGACTCACAGGGACGTAACTTACAAGCTATGTGTCCTTCTGCAAATTGCTTGACTACTTTCATCCACTTTACTCTTTCAGAAAAAATTGCGGTGATACAATCATACCACCTACTTAATACTGTTGTATTGAGAATTAAATGATTTAAATAAATCGACGATGTTTGCACTGTGCTTAACTCAGTGTCTGACACACAATGAAAATTTAATAAATAATGAATAGGTGTTATTATCTAAGTCCTGTTGTAAACTTGTTAAATTGTGATCTGCCTTCAAATGGAATACACAATAAGGACAACTTAATATTTTAAGTATAACTGACATGTGTCTACATTTCACTTTTGTACAAAGTATGATCGAATACGTCATTTCATTTAAGTCTCATAAATTCCACAGAGTAGTTGCTATTATCTTCCTCATTATAACAATGAGGGTGGGGCTGAATCTTGGATAGTTTAAGTGATTTGCTGAAGGCCCAAGCTAATACATGGTAGAGTGAGAGCAGATTGTCTTCAAAAGTCCACTTAGTTGGTTCTCATGAACTGCAGTTTTACCTTAGATGTAATTAATTATGTCTCTGATAAGTATAATTACTATTTTCCTCATTTCTTATAGTCACCTGTATTGTCCAGTAAAAGATATAGCTTTGGTGTGGAGAACAGCTATTTGGAAAGCTTATTAAAACATGAAGTCCTTTCTTCCTTTCCCTCCCTGACTCTAGAAATTCTTATGATGTCTGGGATGGGGCAGAGAGGCTGCCTTCCTAACAAGCTCCAGGAGGTGATAAGGGTACTGGTTCTGGGGCCACATTTTGACAAACACTGCCTCAAGCTATTTTTACCATCAGTGAATATCTTGCAGTACATTTCACGAATGAACTTTACAGTCATTACTTTATTTAGGCAGAAGGGATGGAGCAGTCCTCTTTTTCAGATAAGTTGTCCTGAGATGCATCTTTTTGGCAATCATTCTATCGAGCTCCTAATCAGGCATGAATAGAATAATGCCATTTGTAATCCTGGTGATGGAGGCACTCTTGCAAATTTCAGGCCGGGTTTTGGTGCACAGCAGCTTTCATTGTCTTCCAACAGCAATTTCAGGCTCCTTCTGCCTGCCCTGTGACCATCTCTCGTTAAACCTCTGTAAGTAGCCCTGCTGCAACCATGAATCATACTCTGAGGGCTTCACACAGGCTGGGTTTATTGAGCTGCATTATAGGAGACTATATCTCAGATGGCCCCAGTGCAGCCAAAACAATCTGTCACTTTTAATTCTTCCTGTCACCTCATTAAGTATATGGCACCATTGACAATAAAATACATTTTCAAACAAACACACAACACACGCACCACCCCAATTGCAACATTTCCTCCTCTTATATTCAGATGTGGTAATAAATACCCAGTCATTGAAAGATTCATTGAGCAAACATATGTGCCAGGGTACTGTATATAACTGACGGAGGCAAAGAATAGTCTCCATGGACGCATAAAGCAATTAAAAATAACTGTGCTTCAAAGCAGGGTACTATAATACAAAGGTCAGGCCCATAAATATGAACAGGGTGGCAGTAATGTCTCTATCCAAATATACCCCCAAACACATCACTACAACAGTTCAGAACTCAAAGGTTAATGTAAAAAAATAAATCCCTGAAATTATTCCATATTCATCTCGTGCCTTTTACTTCTTGTGGTCTTTTCATAAAAGGTTAATATATGTGAATACAGTGGAAAAATTTTATCAAGGCCAAATGTGAGCCATCAGGAACTATTTTACTCAATGAAAAATATTTACCCTTGTACATGTGATAAAATGAAGGAGCTGTAGTACATTTTCCAGGAAAGAAAAAAAAATGTCTATGGTGTCCTCTGCCTTTCTTTACTAGGTTGCTTGTTTTTACATTAACTGCACTGAAGTTTGAATTTTGCTCAAAGCTGTGGAGAGACTGTTCTGAGGGCCAAGATAGTTTTTGCAGTAACACACTGAGTGTGATAATAAGGTTTATGCATGGTTGTAAAGAATGTGCTGACAGACAGATGGAAAAGAAGCCACCTCAGTCTGCACAGTATTCATTTTTATATATATTAAAAAAATTCATACAACACCTGACTCTCATTCAAACAGCAGTTCTTCCTCCTGCTGTCTTCTAGAAACAGAAATATTTTAGAGTATATAGAAAAAAATCCAACCCCCAGTGGACTGATTCACTAAAATTTCAAGTTCTGTGCACATCAGAGTAACATAGGCTCCTGCATTACCATTCAAGGTGTCATGTGCAATGAAAAACTTATTCCCACCAAATATGGATCTTTACATAGTAAGTGCCTTAGATAGTGAGCAAGTAAATCCAGCAAGGAAAAACATGTGAACAGGATGTCTCCCACAAAGCAGAGGCATTTCCCACCCTTCCTCTGAAAAGCAAAAAGAGAGCTTCTTTGCCAAAGGTTCCCTTTCATCAAGCAATATTAGAATATGAGTGCAGATTGTATTAGAGAATTTAGGTCGTCTGTGCCTCTCTATGATGTTGTGGCATTTAAGAGCACATTGATTAAAGGAAAAGAACAGTCTGAGGTAAATTATTTGCTCTTAATAACAATGAAACAATAATGACTAGCCCACCTAGCACCTTGATTCTCTAAGGCATCAGCTTTTTACTAGAGAAAAAAACAGCTCCCAATATCTTCTCTATTCTAGACCTTATTACTATGTTCTTAGAAAAGTGTAATTCTTGATTTAAAAAGTAAAATAGAAGTTAAAAAAATAAAAACCAGTTATTTTCTATTCATCCTCAACCTTTGGACTTAATGCATCTGTCATATGGTTTGGTTGTGTCCCCACCCAAATCTTATCTTGAGTTGCAGCTCCCATAATTCCTACATGTTATAAGAGGGACCTGATGGGAGGTAGTTCAATCATGGAGGTGGGTCTTTCCCATGCTGTTCTCAAAGTCTCACAAGAGCTGATAGTTTGATAAAGGGCAGTTCCCCTACACAAGCTCTCTCTTGCCATGCCTCCATCTAGGATGTGACTTTGCTCCTCCTTTGCCTTCTATCATGATTGTAAGACCTTCCCAGTCATGTGGAACTTTGAGTCAATTAAACCTCTTCCTTTATAAATTACCTAGTCTCAGTATGTCTTTATTAGAGGCATGAGAACAGACTAATACAATCAGCATTTGTTTTCTAAGGCTGCTGTGCCAAAACCCCACAAATTGAATGGCATACATAACAGAATTTATTATCTCACAGCTCTGGAGGCCAGAAGTCCAAAATCAGGTGTTGGCACAGCTGGTTCCTTCTGAGGGATTTGAAAGAAGGATCTTTTTCAGGCTTCTCTCCTTGACTTTTAGATGGCCATATTCTCCCTGTGCCTCTTCATATAACCTCTCTGGTGTGTCTTTGTGTCTTTGTGAAGTAAGTTTTGGACTTCAATTTGTGATTTTTTTTGGCAGGAAACAATTCAATCAATAACACATCTTGTACTCAAAGCGAAAAGCAACACTGACAAAACAAAACCTGAATCCTCCCACTTGTGCTATCTCCTTCCCTGCTGCCTTACCAAAGAGAGATGACTCATACCCCCATCATCCCCAGAGCAGATTCCAAAGACAAGAGTAATTTTTTTCATTATTGCTAAGATGTTACTAAATTATTGCTTCCATTAACTTTCATGTCTCACAAATTCCAAAGGACCAGCTATGCATTTCCTACTTCTATGAAGTGTTCTCATATACTAACCTCAAAATTAATCCCGACATCTGACCATTACTTTAACAATTGGTCATTATTCTCTCATCAAATTCTGGCATGACAGTTGGTCACTTGTGTAGTTGTGTGAATTAACCACCCAACAATCTACCCAATTTGCTATTGACCTTTTCAACTCAAGTGCCCTTCAGCTACAGTCTACTTCTGCTGCCTGATCATATACAAACTTTCTCTAGCCTGTACCTTGTATTTATGCATCAGCTCTTAAAGTTTAAATTTGAACATTCTTTGACTTCTGTCTGCTTATGCCATCTTCTCCTTTCTTTTCTTCCTTTATAGCACCAGTTACCAAATTATGTTATTGCAGGGAACACTGGTGTTTTAGCAGATTCATAGGAGAGACACAGAAGAAGATTTTATTGGTGCATTTTCATACTGCTGTAACTGCCTGCAACTGGATAACTTAAGAGGTGTAATTGGCTCAGTGCTGTAGGCTTAACAGGAAGTATCACTGGATGCCACGGGAAACTTACCATCCCGGCTGTAGGCAAAGGGGTTGCAGGCACATCTTACCATGGCAGAGCATAAAAGAGAGAGAGAGAGCAAAGAGGAAAGTGCCAAACACTTTCAAACAACCAGCTCTCATGAGAACTCACTCACTATCATGAGGACAGCAAGGAGGAAGTCTGCCCCCATGATTCAATCACT